GCTCCCCCAGGTCAGCTGCTGCTGATACTGATGAGCGCTGATTCCAGGAGCCCGGGGGCAGAGCAACTCTGCCTGGGCTTCCTGTAGTCAGTGCTGGTCAGTTTCAGCAGCGGCTGACTTGGGGACGCCTGGGGCAGAGCAGCTGGGGTGCTGCTGGGTTGGTCCAGTAGCGCCGAGGAGCGGTGCAGGAAGCCCGAGGCAGAGTTGCTCTACCCCAGGCTTCCTGGAATCAGCCGCTGATCAGTTTCAGCAGCAGCTGACTTAGGGACGCTTGGGGTTCTTAACTTGAATCTGTATGTAAGTCAGAACTGGTGGTCAGTTTCAGCAGCGGCTGAATCTGGACGCCAGTTCCGACTTACATATAGATTCAACTTAAGAACAAACCTACAGTCCCTATCTTGTACGTAACCCGGGGACTGCCTGAATTTACGTATCTGCTGGATTTGGATCTATCAGAGTCTTCATGTATGATGTCCATTAAAGCAGACTATATCACCCTTACAAATATTGCTGCTGAAAAACATTATTTAGAAATATCACACAACTTCAAAAAATCCACTCAGGAGGGAGGATTAGATGACCAATTAGCAATAGTAATTTGCAAGTAAAAAATTCTAGTATCTGTTCCACATGAGAACTTTTCCCTTATCCCTAACTTTGAATATACAAAATGGGCTTTATTTATCAGGGAGGGTTGTTTCTTACAAGATATACTCCAGGTTGTCCAGTCTAGGCTTAAATTATTAAAGTAACGGGTGGTTTACATATCTAGTTGGAAAACTTTTCCCAGTCCAATGTATATGTTAATACGGAGTTTTTCCTGACATTCAACCTACAGTTTCCTTTGCTCAGTATAATCCCATTGTGCTGATTTATGCACCTTTCGGGTACATCTACACAGCAAGGCTAAAGTCGAATTAAGCTACGCAACTTCAGCTACATCAATTGCATAGCTTAAGTCAAAATAGCTTAATTTGGCTTTGGGGGCTGTCTACACAGAAGAAAATAGAAGAAAGAACACTCTTCCTTTGACTTTCCTTACTCCTCATGAAATGAGGGATACCATGAGTCAGAGTAAGAAGTCCTCCAGCTTGCCATTATTTCGAAATAATGGCTTTTAGTATAGAGGAGTAGGCACTGTCATAGAACACTAGAACTAGAATGGATGTTGAGAGGTCATCAAGTCCAGTCCCCTGCCCTCGTGGCAGGACCAAGCACCTTCTAGACCATCCCTGATAGATGTCTATCTAACCTGCTCTTAAATATCTCCAGTGATGGAGATTCCACAACCTCCCTAGGCAGTTTATTCCAGTGTTTAACCACCCTGACAGTGAGGAAGTTTTTCCTTTTAGATTTCCTAAACCTCCCTTGCTTCCTGTCCTATCATCAGAGGCCATGGAGAACAATTCTTCTCCCTCCTCCTTATGACACCCTTTTAGATTGAAAATCTAATCTAGACTTGAAAATCGCTATCGTATCCCCTTTCAGTCTTCGCCTTTCCAAACTAAATGAGCCCAATTCTTTCAGTCTTCCTTCATAGGTCATGTTCTCTAGACCTTTAAATCATTCTCGTTGCTCTTCTCTGGACCTTCTCCAAATTCTCCATATTTTCTTGAGATGTGGTGCCCAGAACTGGACACAATACTCCAAGTGAGACCTAATCTGCGCAGAGTAAAGTGGAAGAATGACTTATTGTGTCTTGCTCACAACACTCCTATTAATGCATCCCAGAATGATGTGTTTTTGCAACAGTGTCACACTGTTGACTCATAATTAGCTTGTGGTCCACTATGACCCCTAGATCCCTTTCTGCAACACTCCTTCCTAGACAGTTGCTTCCCATTCTGTATGTGTGAGACTGATTGTTCCTTCCAAAGTGGAGTACTTTACATTTGTCCTTATTAAACTTCATTCTATTTACCTCAGACCATTTCTCCAGTTTTGCCAGATCATTTTGAATTATGACCCATTCCTCCAAAGCAGTTGCAATCCCTCCCAGCTTTGTATCATCTGCAAACTTTATAAACGTACTGTCTATGCCAATATCTAACAGAACTGGTCTCAAAACAGACCCATGCGGAACCCTACTTGTTATGCCTTTCCAGCAGGATTGTGAACCGTTAATTACTACTCTTTGATAACGATTATCCAGACAGTTATGCACCACTTTAAGGTAGCCCCATCTAAGTTGCATTTGCCTAGTTTATTGATAAGAATATCATGCGAGACCATATCAAATGCCTTACTAAAGTCTAGGTATACCACGTCCACCGCTTCTCCCTTATCCACAAGACTCGTTATCCTATCAAAGAAAGCTATCAGATTGGCTTGACATGATTTGTTCTTTACAAATCTATGCTGGCTGTTACCTATCACCTTATTTGCAGATGATTTCCTTAATTACTTGCTCCATTATCTTTTCTGGCACAGAAGTTAAACTGACTGGTCTGTAGTTTCCTAGATTGTTCTTATTTTCCTTTTTATAAATGGGCACTATATTAGCCCTTTTCCAGTCTTCTGGGATCTTTCCCATCTTCCATGATTTTCCAAAGATGATAGCTAAAGGCTCAGATACCTTCTCTATCAGCTCCTTGAATATTCTAGGATGCATTTCATCAGGACCTGGTGACTTGCAGACATCTAACTTTTCTAAGTGATTTTTAATTTAATTTTTTATTTTATCTTCTAAACCTATCCCCTTCCCACTAGCATTCACTATGTTAGGTATTCCTTCATCATCGGACTTCTTGGTGAAGACCGAAACAAAGAAGTCATTAAGCATCTCTGCCATTTCCAAGTTTCCTGTTACTATTTCTTCCTCCTCACTGAGCAGTGGGCCTACCCTGTCATTGGTCTTCCTCTTGCTTCTAGTATATTTATAGAATGTCTTCTTGTTTCCTTTTATGTCTGTGGCTAGTTTTGAGCTCGTTTTATGCCTTTGCCTTTCTAATCTTGCCTCTGCATACCTGTATTGTTTGCTTATATTCATCCTTCGTGATTTGTCCTAGTTTCCACTTTTTATATGACTCCTTTTTTTATTGTTAGATCATGCAAGATCTCCTGATTAAGCTAAGGCGATCTTTTGCCATACTTTCTATCTTCTCTACGCAGCGCAATAGCTTGCTTTTGGGCCCTTAATAATGTCCCTTTGAAAAACTGCCAACTCTCTTCAGTTGTTTTTCCCCCTAGTCTTGCTTCCCATGGGACCTTATCTATCAGCTCTTTGAGCTTACCAAAATATGCCTTCCTGAAATCCGTTGTCTCTATTTTGCTGTTCTCCCTTCTACAATTCCTTAGAATCATTAACTCTACATGAATCTCTATGCCCCTACATACTTGTGTTATTTTTTTATTTTCATCCATTGTGATTTGACCTAGTTTCTACTTTTCTAGGAGTCCTTTTTTGATACTTAGGTCATTCACGATCTCCTGGTTAAGCCAGAGTGGTCCCTTGCTGTATTTCCTATCTTTTCTATGCAGTGAAATTGTTCTCTTGTGCCCTTAATTATGTCTCTGAAGAACTGCCGTCTTCCGTTGTTTTTCCTCTTAGTCTTGCTTTCCTGGGATCTTACCTACCAACTCTGAGTTTGATAACATCCGCCTTCTTGAAATCCATTGTTTTCTTTATTTTGCTGTTCTCCCACCTACCATTCCTTAGAATCATGAACTCTACCATTTCATGATCACTTTCACCCAAGCTGCCTTCCACTTTCAAATTCTCAACCAGCTCCTCCCTTTTTGTTAAAATCAAATCTAGAACAGCTTCTCCTCAGTAGCTTTTTCAACCTTCTGAAATAAAAAGTTGTCTTCAATTCAGTCCAATTAGTTTCCCAACATATATCTGGATAGTTGAAGTCCCCCATCACCACCAAATCCTGCGCTTTGGATGATTTTGTTAGTTGTTTAAAAAAGCCTCATCCACCTCTTCCACCTGGCTAGGTGGCCTGTAGTAGACCCTTGTTTTTTCCCCTTTTAGCCTAACCCAGAGATTCCGAAATAATGATGCTGTGTAGACATGCCCTTAGAGTTTATATAATTCTTAGAAACAGATTTTCACATATCTTACTATAATTATTTTTTTTTAATGCAAACAATTATTCGCCCCCATAATTTACCCCATTTTGAAGACCCATCATTGTCAAGGACGCTGTTGGAACTGTGAGTTTTCTCTCTGACTCTGGAAAAAAGGAGCAGATGCCTCTGCAATCTCCAAGGATTGGGACTGATGCAGGGGATCAGTGCTCACGGCTCTTAGAACTAGTGAAAGATATTTCCAGCCACTTGGATGTCACAGCCCTTTGCCACAAAATTTTCCTGCACATCCACGAGCTTATAGCTGCTGATCGTTATTCCCTTTTCCTGGTCTGTGAGGATAGCTCCAATGAGAAGTTTCTTGTCAGCAGGCTCTTCGATGTTGCAGAAGGCTCCACCTTGGAAGAAGCTTCAAACAACTGCATTCGCTTGGAATGGAACAAGGGGATTGTGGGACATGTAGCAGCTTTTGGCCAGCCTTTGAACATCAAGAATGCATACGAGGTAAATATGGAAATTTTATGTAAGTAAAAAAAAGGCCAGATCCTCACCCAATTCAGTGGAGCCAGATGGATTTACACTAACTGTGGATCTGACCTTCAGTATCTCTGTGTAAAATAGATGCACATTTGGCTACATATAATGTTTGAGGAATGGACATTTGAGGGTAAGGGTTAAGTTTTCATCATGGCCTTAACTGGGTTTCCATTCTTCCCATCTTAATTTGGAGTTGCAATTCAGGTCACTTAAAAATGTATGATTTTGATTATACTAAGAAATGTGGTATATATACAGGCAGTCCCCGACTTACGCGGATCCGACTTATGTCCACTTACGAACGGGGCTCTCTTGCCCCGGAGCTCGCAGGCAGCAGTCAGCCACCTCGACCTCCGGGGCGAGAAAAGCTGCTCCCGGTGCCCCTGATCTGCTGGGGACCGTCTCCAGCAGACCAGGGGCATCGGGAGCAAAGCCGCAGCCCTGGCGGGTTTGCTCGCGGTGCCTCTGGTCTGCTGGAGACGGTCCCCAGCAGATCAGGGGCACCGGGAGCAGCTTTTCTCGCCCCGGAGGTCGAGGTGGCTGACTGCTGCCTGCGAGCTCCGGGGCAAGAGAGCCCCGTTCGTAAGTGGACATAAGTCGGATCCGCGTAAGTCGGGGACTGCCTGTATATATACCACATTTCTTAGTATAATCAAAATCATACATTTTTAAGTGACCTGAATTGCAACTCCAAATTAAGATGGGAAGAATGGAAACCCAGTTAAGGCCATGATGAAAACTTAACCCTTACCCTCAAATGTCCATTCCTCAAACATTATATGTAGCCAAATGTGCATCTATTTTACACAGAGATACTGAAGGTCAGATCCACAGTTAGTGTAAATCCATCTGGCTCCACTGAATTGGGTGAGGATCTGGCCTTTTTTTTACTTACATAAAATTTCCATATTTACCTCGTATGCATTCTTGATGTTCAAAGGCTGGCCAAAAGCTGCTACATGTCCCACAATCCCCTTGTTCCATTCCAAGCGAATGCAGTTGTTTGAAGCTTCTTCCAAGGTGGAGCCTTCTGCAACATCGAAGAGCCTGCTGACAAGAAACTTCTCATTGGAGCTATCCTCACAGACCAGGAAAAGGGAATAACGATCAGCAGCTATAAGCTCGTGGATGTGCAGGAAAATTTTGTGGCAAAGGGCTGTGACATCCAAGTGGCTGGAAATATCTTTCACTAGTTCTAAGAGCCGTGAGCACTGATCCCCTGCATCAGTCCCAATCCTTGGAGATTGCAGAGGCATCTGCTCCTTTTTTCCAGAGTCAGAGAGAAAACTCACAGTTCCAACAGCGTCCTTGACAATGATGGGTCTTAAAGGTCTATCAAATTCAGAAGCAGAGATTTTCCTTGCTGGTGTCCCAGGGTTGGGGCTCTCAGCTCGAGCAGTCAGATGAGCAGGACAAGAGCAATCTTCACTGTGGTTTTTAGTTCCTTCCTTGCAGATCGGGATGGTATGAACTCTCTCAGCAAACCATGCATTGACCATTTCTCTATAAAGCAGAAGTGAAAGGTAAAAATACTATGAATTAACAATCCCCAAGTGATGATAATTAGTTAAAGGGACCAACACTTTTATGCAATACAGTTTGAACCTCTGTGGTCCAGGACTCTCTGGTCTGGCAACATCTGTGGTCCAGAGGTTGCTGGGAGCTGGGAGCAGAGCCAGGTCAGCGGTAGTAGCAGAGCCCATGGGGCACCAAAGCCTGCATCCAGCTGTCCTGGGAAGCCATTGGGGACACAGACCCCGCAGGCTGAGGTTGGGTACAGCAGAAGTCACAGCAGGCTGGGAAGCCAGTAGTGCTGCTAGAGTCTGGGGACGGGGGAGACGCTGGGCCAGGGGTTGGGTGGGAGCGTTGCAAAGCTGACAGCTTGTGGGGCTGCTAGCACTGACAGGCCAGCTGTGGACCTGCAGAGCTCATGGGGTGGCAGAGCCCACAGGACTGCCACAGCCGTGGGGTCAAGAGCAGTGATGCCAGGTAGGCAGGGGAGAGGAGCCCAGTGGAGAGACTAGCACCCCCCTCCCTGACCTTCTCTGGTCCAGAAAACAACCTAGTCTGGGACCGGTCTGATCCCGAGGGAGCTGGACTAGGGATATCCAACCTGTAGTACACAAAATAATACATAAGTGAAACACCTGCTTCTCTTTAACTTGATGTTGTTCATTTTCAGCCACCTGGAACTGAGACTAACTTAAGCACTAACATCTTGTGTCTTATAAAAAAGAAATATGTCTGGTTAAATAAATGTTGCTGAATAAGGTAGAAAATTATAACTCATGACAGCTTTCAGTGCATAAAAACTGAAAGCTATGACAACACTAATCTCAAATGCTTCAGCCTTAATCATGTCATAGAGTTTTAAGGCCACAAGGAACCACCAGACCATATGGTCTAATTTCCTATCACAGGCCACCAACATTTCCAACCAAACCCAGAAACTTAAATTAGACCAAAGTATTACTGCCTACAGAAGACTAGACTACTATTTGTCACTGGGAGGGAATGGAAGGAATTGAGGTGTACCAAGGCCCCTGCAAAGGCAGAGAATTATTAATTGAAATATATATGCAAATAATCCTGGCAAATAACTCCTATGCAGCATAGAGAAATGGAAGGCAATCCCCACACAAGGTCTCTTACAATCGAACCTGGGGAGAAATTCCTTCACAATCTCCACATATGACAACAGATAGACCTTGAGCATGTGAGCAAGAATCAGCCAGCCAACTACAAAGGAAAGGGAATCCTCAGTGCCAACTCAAAGCCCTGGCCCATCTACCCACTCAATATCCTGTCTTCAAATGTGGCCGTCCCTGATGCTTCTGAGAAAGGCAGAACAACTCCCCCGACATACAACCCCCCCACCAACAAATCCCCAAACCCAAACAAGCCACACAGCTCTTTTCTCCACATACACCATACAGAATACACTGTGTGGAGAAGTGGGGAGGGAATCCTTCATTTTGTACGTAACAGTTCTGATCATCATTAATCCTAAATGCTAGAAATCTTTTTACGCAAAAGAAAACATTCTTTTTCACCATTTTCTGGGGGGAGGAGGGAATCCAGGTTTTCAATCAAAAAATGAGAAAAATTCAACCTGTGAAAATGTTCATTTAAAGAAAAGGCCATTTTTCAACAAAAAGAGTTTTCAACCAAGAAAGGTTGACCAGTTATAATTCTGCCCAATACATTTAAAATTTCACATCCAACTTTGGTTGGATAATCAATATTCAAAATTTGAGCTTCACCGTTTTATTTATTTTTATCCCAAAATAAGGAGAAGTCATGTTGAAGAAAAACCAGAAACCTAAGGAGTAAGACTCCGCTATAGCTCCTATTGCTGTGAATGACAAAACTTCCATCAATTGCAACATGGCCTGATTAGCTGCTAAGTGTTCAGACTGTTACTCCCCTGAGTGGCCCCTACTGATGCAAGCATTGTCACTGAAGCTTGAACAGTTATATACTCAAAGGTAGATAAAGTTTAGGTTGAATATGCCACCTTAATTTTGCCCCTTGAGCATATGCATTTTATACAGTCTGTAACTGCATACCCATATGCCACTTCCAAGGGAGCCGACAGCCATGCCAGGTCCCTGGGCAAAAAGTGTGTGGTAGGGCTTCATGCTCCAGAAAGGCATGTGGCTTTGGGTTGAAAGGGCAGGGCCAGGGGTTGCCAGTTCTTGGCACACCACACCCTTCCCCGGCCTTCAAGCCATCCGGAGCACACCACATGGCACTCCAGTGGCAGTTTAAAGGGCTCAGGGCTCTACGTGCCACTGTTGGCACAGTAGCAGCGGCAACACCAAGAAGCACTGGGCCCTTTAGAATTGCTGGACCCTGGGAAAGTTACTCCCTTTGCCCCACTCCCAGTCGATGGGCCTGGCCACTTGTCAAAATATATAATGAACTTCCAATACATGCATGTTCTTTAGTCACTAAAATCAGGCACTTACAAACATTATAAACCTGTGTGATTCGACTCCTGTGATTAGTGCCATTATTCTTAATGGAGCAACAGTTTGGGGTGTAACATTTGGGACCCATGCACCATACA